GGGGCTGTGTGGTGCTGGGCCACTGCTGGGTGTGGGAGAGGACTGGTGCCAACAGCCATTGTCTTCTGCAGGGTACAGGGTGCCCTAGCTACAGATTTACACAGCCTGGATGGGATCAATTAAGTCTGGAGGCAGAGTTCTCCATTCCCAGCAGCTGGGTTTGGTGCTCAATCCTAAAACAGCTAAAGAAAACAGATTTTAAAATAAGGAGAAATTCGAATTAATCCTGTTCTTCCTATCTCAGAAAGTCTTGGGCAGACCCCAAAAGTGAGTTGAAACCGAACAACTCCTGCTCCTAAGAAAACCTTCTGTTTTTTCTTTCCAGGGCTGGTGTATAACAGAGACATGAGAGCCCGTACGGTGAGCACTGCTCTTCTGCCATGCCCCCTGCTGCTTGGGAGCCCTGAGCTCACAGAACACTCACACAGAGGATGCCTGCTCACTGAGCTAGGCCCTGCCTCCACCCAGCTGCTTACCTGCTGCTCCCCAAATTCCACAAGTCCTTTAAATGCTGCTTTTAAAAGAGCCTGCACTTGATCATTGATTCAGCTTACAGAGTCACTGGAAAATGTTACTGTTTGTTTTTTAAGAAGTTCCTCTGCCCCAAGGCCTCCTGGCCACATTTTCCTACTGTTATAACTCTTCAGGCAGCAGATGGATGGATGCTTTCTGTCAGCATGTCAGGTGACCTGAACAAGAAGGGGAGTGGAACAAAGTCCTTAGGTTTGCTATTTTGATAGTTTTGTGCCACTTTTAAGCAATTAGGGCCTCCTCTATCTGTGCTACTGCCGGGATATGGAAGCCAGGGTAATGTACTCTCTCTCCTTTTTAGTAAAATGATTTTTAAAGCTTTTCTCTATGAGATCATTCCCATATGTGCTGCAGCCCAGCAGGCAATGTTGTTGGCAGCCCTGAAACACAGCTGGACAGAAGGAGCCTTTGCAGAGCCATCTACTCCTGGTGGCAGCCTGGATGCTTGTCATGTCCCAGCATGGAAGCTTCAGGGCCACAGTTACTTCTACCTTCAGAGCTACTTGTGCAGGAGAGCTTGGGGACACCCTCTGCCCCCAGCTGCTGTCCCTGGGCTTTGACACTTTCCCTCTCTTTGCACCTGCAGCAGAGTCGAGAGTTCTTCACGGTGGAGCAGTGTGTGAAGCTCCTGCAGAAGATCCAGGACCGTGTTCTCATCATTATGTGAGTGAGGCACAAACCATACCAACCCTTGCTGTCTCCCTCAGTGGAAGGAATGAAGGCTAGGAAGGAGTCCTCCACTACCCCTTCCTCTGCACTAGTCATCCAGGCTTTTGGCCAGCTGGTGTAACAGTATAGCTTCACATGTGAGAAGCATTTCCCAGTTCCCCACCACTGCCCTGGGTTGGGTAGGCTCGTGGAGAAGGCAGACAGCAACTGGAACATCCTCCCAGCCTGGCACTCTGCTTTCAGGCTGGGACTCCCTGGTGCAAGGCTGAGGAAATGTTAGTCCTGCCCCATCTTCCCCATGCTCTTGGCTTCACAATCCCACCTCACAACTTTCCATTCCTTGGCACTGCAGCAAGGGGCCAGCCTGGCAAATATGTGACCCTCCACAGCACCACACCTACTTGCTGTCCTCCTGACCTGACTCTACCCCAGTCAGGAACCCAGCCTGCCCCCTTCTCCAGGCCCCAAAACCTCTTGCCTGAGCAAACAGGTGGAACTCTAGAGCAGTCTCCATCTCTTCCAGCTACTCCTGAAGCCCCTGGTCTGACTGAGCTCCTCCAAGCTCTTTCCTGTGGCACCTGGGGCCAGCAGCTTCTGGGCACAGGGCCAGTGGCTTGCCAAGTTGTTAAGCTGTCTGGGTGCACAGCTTGTTCTGCAAATCGTCCTCTGCCTTTCCCCATCTCCTTCAAGGGCAAGGTGTGCAGGGCTCTGGCTACCTTGGCTGGTGGGGTGCTGTTAGAAGATTGTCTAGAAAACAAGAAGTGCTAGCAGTTGAGAAAAGAGGTACAGTTTTGACTTCCCTGATCTGTTTTAATATCCTAACTGCTTCAGGTTATTCCTACTTGTCCAGAAATGTAATATTGTGCTGAGGTCAAGTCCTCTGTGCCATAGAAATGCCACTGAGCCTGAGATGTCTGCTTGTCCCATGACTAGCACAGTAGGAGACAGCATGATCTTAGCTCTGCAGGAGATGTAATGCTGACTTCTCCAGGGCAACTACCCTGGTACCTCCCTCTCTGAGCAGGGCATAACTTGGTTAAATAAGCAGCAAAGAGAGGCAGAATGGACTGAGGGGAGATGTGGAAGGAAGTTAAGAGCAGAAGGCAGAGCAGGGAATGATGTTTTCACACCAGTTAGAGGAAAATATTTAGCCAGTCCCCACTCTGATACCACTAGGCAGTCACACAAGGTTTTACACCTTTTAGTTTGATATAAAATGGCTGCTTAGCCAAGCTGTGTGGTGCACTCTGACTACCATGTATGGGCCTGTCACCTGCTGCTTACGAGCAGCCTGGGAAGAACAGCTGAGTTTGTCACCCTACTGTCTTGGGAACACTGATTCTACCCAGGACAGCCACAAAGACAAATGGAGGCACACTGGGTGCTGAACTGAGCCTCACTGTTGTTTTCAGATCACAAGATGGACTCTTGGTACCACACAACCTACCGAGCAGAAATCACTTTGTGAAAGCCCTGCAGGAGGCATTCGAGTCTAACCTCAAAGAGGTGAGAGCAAATGTCATCCTTGCACCTCGATTGGCCACCAGCCTGGGAGCAGCAGCTGGGAAGCAGCTGACCTTGGTGGGCACCCTCCAGGAGGTGATTTGACCTGAACAGCACAGCCCTCACATGGGGCAGGGGGTGGGGGAGTGTGTGCAGTCAGGGGAGGAAGTCACTTTGTTACTGCTGCCAAAGTCCCAGGTTAGTACTGCCCTCTGGACCCAGCTCTTCCCTGGTCCTCCCATCTCCGTCCTGCCTCACTTGCCCTGTCCCTTCCTACGACTGTCACACGGCAGTGTGGGCTTCAGGGAACACTTTCCTGGTCCACATCTTCACATCTCCTTGTGTTCTTTCCCTCCAGCACATCCAGCTAGCAGAAGTGCCTGGGAGTCATTTTGTGCACCTGAATGAGCCCGAGGTGGTATCTGGGATCATCAGCAACTTCCTGACAGCACAGAACACCAGGGCCAGACTCTAGGAAGCCCTCACAGCTGCAGCAGTCCAGGAGAACTGGGAGCTAACAAGCAAGCTCCAGAATTGTCACCATTCCTACCTCACATCCAGCATTAGATTGTGATAATCTTTCCTATGCTTAGCTCACTGCAGGGTGGAAGCAGGTCTGCCAGGGGTACTCTGAAGGAGAGCTGAGCAAAGTATCTCATTTGCCAAAGGGAGAAGGAATCCTTGCTCTACTTCCAGCTCTGTGAGTACAGGGATAGAGGCCCAGAGTGGCCTTCCCCATGGCTTACTCCAAACTTGCACCCTGAAACAGAGCAGAACACAAGGCAGAGGCATGATCTGTGACAGCAGCAGCTCCCCAGCTTAGGCACTGCAATAGAGGTGGCTCATCTTGCCTCCTACCTGAGAATGGTGCAGACAGGCTGCTCCCAGGATTTAACCTACTGTAAAACAAGGAAAGTGTTCTGCTTCTGTGCTTACTTCCATAGATGCCTGAGCTTAGAGGGCCTCAGTGTCTCTGTTCCATTGTGAGAACTACTGTTTAAGAATCAGCCTAAATGAGAGCTCACCTGTGCAGAGAAAGCCATTTTAATGAATGCTAGAGAATCCTTAATCCTCTAGCTGAAGCAGCTGGGAGAACTACAAATTATGGAAAAGTTGGCAGAGACAATTTCTGTCCTAAATAAAGATTAATATTCCGATGTTAGGTCCATCTTCTTGACTCTAGAGGAGAACAAACCTCTTTTCTCTTTGAGGCTGCTCACCCAGGCAGCTGAAATGCATCTTGGGAGGCAGCATTTTTACACACTGTCTGCCTTAGGTAGGCCTTTTTAAGGATCTGCCTCCCACTTAAATTGATGCAAAATCCCACTGAAGCAGGCAGGCCTGTCATCTCTGCAAGCAATGCAAACTGTATTTGCAGTCGGTTTTTTTGGAGAGGGTAAATACATTTTATCTCAGCTCTCTGGAATTTACCACCATTTCCACCTTACATTCATGGTCACGTCTCTAGTGAGGCTGCAGATTGTAAAATAAATGTGTAAAAGCCTGGGACTGGGTGGGTTACTTTGATCACAGACCTCCCACTATTCCAGAGCTGCACAAATGCTATAGGAGCAGCACAAAACCATTGCTCCACACCTAAACGTGCCTGGTGCCATCCTTACCTGCCTTCTGTGGGCTGGGGACAGGTTAAGTGGAAACAGGGCATGGAGAGTCTGGTTTTTCCTTCCAAACCTGCTGCTCAAAGTGGCATTTGTTCTTGCAACAATGCTGGGTATTAGGAAATTCCCATGGCCTAGACATGGCTGCAGAGCTCCATGCACAGCTGGATGACTGGGCACTGCCACACTTGGCCAGGGAGGGAATCACCAAGAGAAGGAGTAGGGCTCTCTACCAAACCACTGATCTTTCCTTGTGACAAGTCACAGTTAGGTTTTTCCTAAAGTCACTTCCCTCATTCCTTCAATAAAATGTGCAAAGGAGCACCAGGTTACAAGCCAGGATTTTTACCACCACCCCAGCACACAGGAAGCTGTTTCCCACAGGAGACCAGAGGGGAGAGAGAAGCATTCCCATGTTCTGAAAACAGCGGCAACAGTTTATTTACAGTTCTTCAGCCATTCCCTGCCCCTGCAGAGGCTGTGCTAGATCAATCCCAGTTTTCACCAAGTTTTAGGAGGTGTAGTTTTGGGTGGCAGGGAGATGCAGGTTGTCACAGGATGTGCCTCAGCCCCTTGACCTGAGCACCCTGAGAAGTGATGCCATGGGGCTGAATGACAGAAGAGCAGGTGGATACTGGTGCAAGTAAAGTATCCACGCAGCAACTGCTGGTCCCTCCAGCAGCAGTTGCTGGGACCTTCGGTTTCAGATCCAAAAGTAGAGGCAACCCAAAGCTGCCTTAATTCCTCGAAATCCTTTGACAAATGGAGACAGTAGGCATCTCTCCTACTCTCTCCAGCACCTGAAGAACAGCTCAGCACAACCTAGTATGGCCGAAACTTGCGCTGGGCTCGCATCAGTGCAATCCTCTGCTTGTCCTCCTCAAATTTCTTCCTCAACTGGGCAATGTCTAAAACATAGGAAAAGAGAAAGAACAGGTCACACGAGAGCAGCAGATCTCCCTCTCCTGGGAGTTTCACTTCCACACACTGGAGGGGCGGCTCAGTCCCAGCCACTTCCCAGAGCAGATGCTTTTACACCTCAGCTGAGTGCCAAGCTGGGGCTCAGCTGTTCATCTCCGGTGGTGCTGCAGCTCCCTCTTGGGGAGGAATTGGCTAGTTTCCCCCTTCAACTGCTGCCTTTGTGCAGACTGAATAAGCACCTCTTAGAAAACCACACCCTCCCACAAAATATTCCAGCAGCCCCTGCTAGGACAGGTGGTGGCAAGGGGCCATTCAGATCCAGTCAGCCAGTTGCTTAGTGGCAGCTGGATGCCACCTGTCTCTTTGGGCCGTGGTGTGAGAGACAAGGCCCAGGCAGGGGCAGGAGGAGACTTGCACACTCACGCTCTCTCTTGGTCTCGCGATGCTGCCAGGCATAGAAGTTGAGCAGTTCTTTGCGGGCCCTCTTCTGTTTCTCCCTCTCCAGCACGCGCAGGTTGGCAGCCTCTGTCCGGGGCAGGCCGGGCTTCCGGCCCTTCCGCGTCACCTTCACCCAGCCCTCCTCGTCCGGAATGCCCTCCTCCAGGGCTGCTTTGGCTTCTTCCTGCAACAACAGGAGGGTGAGGCAGCCCAGTGCAGAGGCACAGCCTAATGCACAACTCCCCACAGCCCTCCCTTAAACACAGGCAAAGTTACGGCTCCTGCTTCCACACAAGATTTAAAGGAAGGCATGGGATCAGGGCTGCAGGCATTCAGCTCTCAGCTCGTCAGCCACAAACCAATTTATTTGTGGGTATCTGTTGTAAGCCCTAGGGGAAGGGTCAGGTGTTGCAGACCAAGCCTGGGTCTGACTGCCCACCAGCAACTGGGAGTTAAAAAACCTCTGCCAAACAGAGAGACCCTCAGTCCTTTCCACTATGGCTAGAGCACTGAGAAATCTCTCTTCTTTCCCTCTGCCCCAAGAAATCTGCTTAGCTGGGTTCCCTCCTCAGCCTGGCCTCACCTCTGCCACCTTTTTATCATAGTCTTGCATGTAGGCGTCCACCTCAGCCTTCAGCTCCTTCGGATCCACGATGGAGGCCTCATAGCTGGCGATCCACTCTGAGACAGAGAGGGCACAAGACAGCAGCAGCTGCTGTTACAAGCAGGCTAGTGTGGTGCTTTTGGGCAGCTCTAGAGAGAACTCTAGCATGGGGGAAGGACATACTGTTCCCATTTGTGTTCAGCTTCCCCCTGCCACAGCTCAAATAGACTTGGCTGTGAGCACAATCAATATGCCACGGCAAGAGTTTGCAACTTGCCCAGGCAGAAGTGGGCCAGCCTTAACCCTAAGGGGCACAAAATTCAGGGCTGTGCTTCTATCAAGCCATTACACGTGAAGTGCTGTCAACTTGACAGACATCTGGGGCCTGCTGGAGGAGTCTGGTCGCCATTTTGAGGACAAGATGCAGACAGTATCTCTGAATCTATGCAAGAGGGACATGAAAAAATGTCAGGGAAAAAGGACCCTTCCAAGGGTCCCCACTCTCCCATAGGGTCACTGGACCAGACTTCAAAAAGATTGCTACCCAGTGAATAATGAAAGAACATAAAACACTGAACATCCCCCAGCTTAGAACAAAATGGGACAAGCAGGGTAGAATTCAACAAGCAATGAGTATAGTTCTTGCCCAGCATTAGCCCACAGAAAGATAGCCAGAGCTGACATACTGCTAATGCCAGTTTTCACAGGGTGGCTCTCTGTTGATATTAGCAAGGGACCTTCTTGTGATAGAGCCTTGGCTGCCTGGACAGCTGCTGGTTTTCTGAACACCACATATGCTACTTGAAATCCCTAAAAGAAAAAAAAACACCCAGGTGAGTCAGATTATGTAAGAGAAATTGGAAATGGAGCAAGGAACTGCAGTACAAATAACTTAAAATAAAAATCAAACCACAAGGGGCAGTAGGATAGCAAAAAAAAGACAGTGTAAACTTAAGTAAGTAATCATGCACCCAATGCCCCCCCCATATGGTTTCCTGTGCCTCGTGTTCTGAAGAGAACCATTCAGTACTTGCCATCTTTTCCCACTGAACCATCAGTATTCCTCTACCCCGCCCAAGCTTTACCTTTAGAGTTTTGTGGTCAAAGAATTTCGATGCCAGTTTATCTTTTTTCTCTCCTGGCCCTGGCTTGTCACAGATGTCCACAGACTGCACATGCCCGCAGCGGGAGAACAGCCTAGACAAAGAGTCCTTAAAAGGGAGAGTAAGAGAAAACACGCGGTTCAGTAAAGCAGGAGCGATGCCTCCCTCGAACAGCCGGCACAGCTCTCCGGGCGGCTCCCCGGGCCCAGCAGCCCCGAGGCACAGGCCGGTTCCCGGGCCCCCAAGCCCTGCCCTCGGTCCCCAGCCGCCCCCACTCACCGGGCCGCAGTACGGGGGCACGTTGAGGACGAATAGGGTGCGGCGAGGCGGGTGCGCGGTGTCGGCCCCTTCCCGCACCTGGTGCTCCTTCACCAACAGGCAGTGGTGCGAGCGCTGCCGCTCCGCGAACTTCACCGCCAGAGCTGCGAGGGACGCACCGCTCTGAGACGCCCCGTTCCCGTGCTGCCCCTCACCCGAGTACCCCGCCGGCCCCGCTCCCGGTGCCCCGCGCTGCCCCTCACCCCCGTATCCCGGTGCCCGGCACTGCTCCTCACTCGCGTATCCCGCCGGCACCGCTCCCGGGGCCTCGCGCTGCCCCTCACCCGCGTATCCCCCCGGCCCCGCTCCCGGTGCCCCCCGCTGCCCCTCACCCGTGTATCCCGCCGGCACAGCTCCCGCCGCACGCCCCGTGGCGGCCGCCATCTTGTCTGCGCGCGGCGGCGCGGGGGCCGCCGGGAGCTGTAGTTCCCGGGCGCGGCGCGGCCCTGCTAATGGCGGCGGCTGGAGTCGCCGCAGCCGCGGGGTTGTTTTATGTTTTTGTAAAAAGAGTGTAAAACTCACGCACTGTCTGTAATCTGAGAGAGGCAAGTAAATCTTAAAGAGATGTAGAAACATTCAAAGGCAATTGTTTTTAAAGAGTCTTGTTAATTAAAAAAAAAAAAATCAAAAAACCTTTGCAGACGAACTTGTAATGGAAGACAGAACCATTTTAAAAATACTGAAGCAAGGCTAATGTAGGAGGTGACAAAATATGACACGACATGGAGAACTGATCCAACCAAATATCAAGTTAATGATCATTATTGGAAGGTACACGCAAAAGCTATGACAATATACCAAACTTGCACATTGTGGCATCACTTCAGAAGTCCTCACATTTTTGAAATAAAAGAAACCCAAAATAAACAAAAGAAACACTATTACAAATTACCTACCACCTGTCCTGGCCAACCATTTAATTTAATGTCTAAATTAACGCACATTAATTCAGAGTGCAGGCAATTATTATTTCAAATACAAGTTTATAATTTCTACCAGCCCAGAAGGGAAAAAAACCCCAAAACAACACAAAAATATAACCATGTTGCATGATGATAAATGTAGACAGAAGGTGGTAGGTTCAAAATCATGATTAGCATAACAATTGCAGGATGTCCAGGAGAAACTGGAGAGCCAAGGTGAATTACCTGAAAAGGACTGGGAATAACCAGATAAGAACTGGGAATAAACAGTTACTCTTGTTTCAGTGCCCAGCAGAAGCAGCCATGCAATGGTGCACTAAAGAGCTGACCAAGACCAGAACACCAATGTACACCAAGACATTGTGTTTGGACACCCACTTAATTCACTGATTTGTAAAAAATAAGAATATGGTGCCATAGATCACAGAGCTTTGGAACAGAGCAGACAGTACTTCAAGGAAGTATGTAAAGGCCATCATAAACCCTCAGATAACCTAAACACAAGGCAGAGTTTAACAGTAAGTTAAAATGCATCTTGCTACTTGGCTTTTCAGACACGAATCTGTTAATCTAAAAAATCCTTGAGTCTCCCCATTCTTTCAGAAGAGGCAAGAGATGCACTCCCAATACATGTTTCCCATTTACACAGCTGTCTAGCTGGTAATGAAAGCATCCCACTTCACCTTGATCTCAGAGCTGTTTTTGCTATAAAATTACTTTTTAAATTACTAGGCTGTCAGTAACAAAGGCTACTTTTTTTTTTTTTTCTGTAAAAAGAGAATTGGAATTACATGGACACAAATGGCTTCAATTTACTAGCAGGAGTCAGCTGCTAATTTGTATGATCCAGACTAAAAGGTGGATGAGTAACAGCTCTCTTACCCATAAGCTCCTCTTGCTCTTCATCACGTTATCAATTTTGAAATTTCCACGTTCACTTAAAAAGAGCAATTGACTCAATACTGGAACACCACCACTTAGCTTTAGTTGCTTCACAGCATCTAAAAAGGCTTAGAATCCACTCTCTGTATAACAAACGTTTATTCAGAAACAGGTAATACATTATCTTCTCCAATCCCTAATGTTTCCTCCCCCTCCCTCCCCTTTTTTTTTTTTTTATTAAAACACATGTATTTGGTGGGCAATCTAAAAAAGGAGAACAATAGCTGTCTTAGGTCCCCTCCCCTACAAACATCTGCTGTTCACATGAAGCACCCCACCAATCATGGTGTCGCTGGCCTTCAAATCAAAGAGAGTACTCCAGAAAAACAAGTCCTGCCAAGTCCTTATTATTTCCATGGCTAAAAGGGACACAGTGAGATTAAGGAATGGTCTGCACAAGCTAGATAGAAGAAATAGTTCATACAGAACAAGAAAGCAAAAGAAACATGGGGTTGTCCAAGAAACAGAATCTGGACTCACAGGAGCTACTCAGCAGAGCTGAACAGAATGGATTAGGTTAGTCTCTCAACTAGTAGGATCAAGTTCAAACCCCAACCCAGTTCTGGAAGTTGCTCTCAGCTTTCCTCTCTTCCAATACAGTCTGAACAAACACAAACGCGTGTGGTTCAACACGCAAGGCGCCAATGCGGTACAAACAATGGGAAGAACTGGAAGTGCCACCTAGTGGCCTGTCACACACACTCGCTGGCCCACGCCACGTCCTCGCCGCCCTGCACGGGACTTGCCACTGCTCTCCGGTGTTCCTGACACAGCGCTGACTGCCCGCTGCTCCTAAACCTCTCCCTGAGGCCACACACTGCAGCCATCGTCCTCCAAATCCAGGCATGCCAGCAGCATAACCGCACAGCAGCCAAACAATGCCCAAATAGCACCCCTCAAAGTTCTCAGACACATGACTTTGTGTATGTTAGGATCTGAAAAGGGTCTCAGGTCCTTCCTTTCCATAGCAGACCGGCTGAGTTAGAAGGCAAGGAAGAAACTCATGTCTGTGCATCAGCAGGAGGAGGCAATATAATCTGATGGGAGTCAAAGAACTGGGTTTCTTCTAGCTCTGAACACAACTGGTTCTTAATTTTTCAGTCCAGAAAGAGGAGAGCAACTGAGCCTGACCCTCCAGAGCAAATATATTCCTTGTACAAATGCCAGAACAACCCTCCAGCACTACCAGGGTTGAAACAGCCCTGCCCATAGCACAATGGCCGGTGCACCCGCGCACACGTCCCTCCTGCCTGATGTCTCTGCTGGCACGCTGAGGGCAGCTCAGCTTCTCCTGCTCCTTCTCAACGTCCCAGCTGCTGAGCAGGAAAGCGTCCAACAGCCAGGAGGAATGGCTATGCCACCAAATGAACACAAGTCCTTTCTGGAGGGAGCCCAACCTGCCTTTGTACCCAGCGCAGCAACTTCAGAAAAAACGTGGTGCCCTTGCCTGTGGACAATCAAGGGGATGCACCCTTTAGTTAAAGGTCAGTCAGAAGAAAACAGAAGGAGATCACCACTCCTTCCCTCAAAGTCTATGTGCACTTTTAATGGCCACTGGGGGCTTTGGAGTAAAGGATGGAGTTACATGGTATATGCTTGGTAATACATTACTGGCAGAAGGGGAAGGTTATTCTCTTGGGAAAAAAAATCATGGAAGAAAACTCCAACTATGAAAACAGAAAGTACACACACAAGAGGAAACACTATTGTACAGTAAGGTAGCGATCATAGAAAACAAAAAATTTCAGGACAGGCAAATGCAAACAACATCTGCACTCCTGCACTTTCCTCATCCCCCAGCTTATATGAGTTTTCCAGTCCACTGCTTGCTCCCCCCCTCTCAGAGTTTAATTTTGAATTCTGTGGGCTGCACAGAGGCAGAGACCCCTGAGGATTTGAAGAGTGCCTTCAAGATAGTTTCAGGGTCCACTTCAGCTGGGGGATTTGAGGAGGCGCTTGCACTTGACCGGCGTGGTTCCCCTTCCTTCTTCACTGAAGGAGTATCACTCAATCGGCTGGAGGAGTAAAAAAAAGAATTTAAAAGGCAGTATTTAACCTCTCTTCATGAGAAATAAATTAACACTGTGTCTGCATTTACTATTATCAGTGTTTCCCCCTTACCAATATGAGAGATAAAGGTTTTAAATATGCTTTTCTCACAAGAAAATATCCTCATCTCAGATTATTTTTGAGCCTCAAGGCTGAGAACACTATGTAGTCAAGCTACATTGCACTCCACTCAACATATTGTGCCACAGAAGGAGAGAGAAAGAAAATCCAAGGGACAACAATTCTCAAAATAGAACCTGCAAAAGTGTTTGGACCTTTTCCCCACTGAAGGACACTTACAGCAATATAGGCTGGTCTGAGGTGATGACATTCCCATTCATATGAAGATTGCATTTCATTGGTTGACCTATATAAAAACAAAACACAAAATTCATTCTATCAGAAGTGGGGTAAGGCAAGATCCTTGAAACATCACACAACAGTGCAAGCAACAGAGTTCAACATGCTGGGAAAACATGAGAAACAAAGAGCTGATAATCTTTTGTTGCAGAATCAGAGCAACAGAAGAGAGGGCCACTGTAACACTCAGTACCATATGAAGGATCATACTAATTAGCGAGTTACACAGTAGTATGAAGCCCTTAGCAGGGACACAAGTGGATCTCCCATTCTTAGCTGTCTGCTCCTCATCTGACATCCATAACATGTCATTCATCTAAAGAAAGAAAAAGCACCTACTTCCAGCTAAAAATTAACAGTTCAACAATAATTTCAGTTTGACATGGTTAAAATATAAAATTGCATGATTCAAAGTTTATGGAGAATCTGATACTATTTTACAAGTCCAATTCAAAATATTTCTGAGTATACCCTGAAACTATTGCAAATACTAGTTTTACTTGTACTTTGCAAGCAGCTCTGTAAGCAGGTAATGCCCTCCTAAGGACTTTCTGTCTAAGAGGTTTTACAGTGACTTCAGTGAGCCAGAGAGATGTCTGATAAGAGGATCCATGTTTACCCCTGAAAGAATTTTCTACCAAGGTCGTTGACATAGAAACCAAGAGAGAAAGAAGGATAAATAAGAGAAACCTGCAACTGCCTATTCCAATAAGCACTTTGTCTCTTGTGACCAATGAGTAAAGTGTAAACTTATGAGTTTTGTAAGAATGTGTTAAAAGCACGGATGTTATAATAAAAAACAGTTTGAAGCCTTCTGAAAATGGAGTGTTGCTTTGAATTTGAATTGTCTCTGTCTCAACTGCAACAACCTTCCAGCTCTTGGTACCAAATTAGAAACATAAGGAATTACATCTGAAAGTTAGAGCAGGAGACTCATCAGGACCCTGCCTCCAGCTCTCAACCTTCTTTTTCTAGGAAAATGTGGGTGGGGTTTTTAATTGCATTTAAATAAACTGTGCATATATTCAGCTAGTCACACAGCAGTAATTGTCTCATCTAGCTCTTGAACTGATTTTCTGGTATTTCTCTCTTGCTAGCATATTAACATCTAAGATACTTTTAAACCTTCCACTCAGGTGGAAAAGCCATTCTTGATTTATTTATCCTACATGCAACTCTGGCATCAAACTTACCATCTAAACACCTGTTGTTGTATTTCTTATATGCTGTGATAGCATCTTCTTTCTTCACAAATACTACCTCAGCCACACCAGGGTGCACCAGCCGGGCTCGCTTCAGGGCGCCACACACACAGAATAACTCCTGAGGGCAGAGAGTCAGTCACAACCATGGTCACATCAAAGGCACTGCATGAGAAGGGTTTACTTGCTTCATCACACCACCCATCCTGCTTATTAAATACCTGACAGGATCTGGACACTTGTCTTACTGTGTTTGTTATGGTATAAGTACTTGGCACTAGTAATAGAGAGCACACAAGCAGGGAAGTTCAAGGCCAGTACCTGGTAATGTTTTTCATGCACAAAGACCAGATTCATTCTCAGCCCGGTGAGAATGGAAGACCTTGATAATTTGGATAGGGGCATAAGTTTGGGTAGAAGAATCATTTGGTGTGAACTCTTCTTCTAAGTGATGTCAGGTATCTCAAAATACTCTGTGGGATTTTGTCCCATGTTCTTAAGCACACACTTTTTAAAAAAAGTGTAAACAAACTTTTTGTAAACAAAAAGTGTCCCCAAACAATCAGGAACCCTCAAAGTTTTTGCACGGACAGCAAACCCACATCACACCCCTCCTCACTGCATTCACCATAGATCAAGTGATTTATCAGAAGGGGCAGGACACAGAAAGGAAGTGTCACTCATGCACAGTCTGGCAGCAAGCAACACTCACAACAATATCTTCTTCTGTGACTCGAGGATGCAGATTGTTTACGGTCATCTTTGTGCCTTCCAAAGGACTGAACGCCAGCTGCCAACACAAACAAATGCATCACAGAAATCTGGCACAAAATACAGCACAGCAGAGAAAGCAATAAAAAGTCTCTAAGGATATGTCTGGGAATGTCTGTACACACACACAAAGGAGAAAGCTAAAGCTAGTAATGGGAAATATCAATGTTTACTAAAGCCCAGCTCACCTGACAGCAAAAAGGAACTTCTTTTCCATGCTAGTTTTTCTCTGAAGTAACTTTTCACTCTTATTCTCAAGAATAACATTAACTTAATCTGCATACACAGTACTCTGGTCATGCCCACACTTTTAATAGCCTGTCTCTGTTGTACTCTACACCAGCCAGCAAACCCCAATATACAGCTCCAGCCTCTCAAGAGCATGCTGAACTCAGCATACCTAGGAACACCTGGTGGGTTACTTGTACCCAATATCAGGCAGTTTGGCAAAGCAATTCCAGGCAGGCTGTCTACAAACTGCCTGGGAGTTCTCATGTGTAGATGAAAACATGTACATTTGGAATAACTCTTTTCTCCTTGCTAGCTGGAGTGGACAAGCAACATACAATGTATCAAACAGTGTTAAAACACTACTCCTAAGGACATGAAAGCCACCAAGGCGTGTCCAAACAATAACTGCCACCTCCCTATAATATGGATTCCTCCAGGATCATGTGCAGGGAAAGGATGTTTACACAGGTTTCAAATTCTTGGGACACGAACTGCAGTTATCAGAATAACCTTGATGACATCCCAGAACTAATGATGAAAGGCAGGCACAAATGAGCTGCTCACATGACCAATGAACAAGATTCAGATGTTTCAGAGACTTCCATAAAGAGCATTTTGCCCTTCCCTGAGCTCACCTCAACAGGTGCTGGCTCTTTTGGAGGCACTTCCTTTGTCACTAAGGTCCGGGACATGTTTGCCAAGGCCTTTGTCCGCATAGGAGGGGCAGTTGCAGGTGGAGCTGTGTATGTGTCGTTCTGGACCACTTTAGTCAGGGGAACAGTCTTGGACAGAGAGAATTTATTGCTGCTCAGACCAGTCTACAGGAAGAAAAAAGAAAGTATCTCAGAGCTACAGCCTACAAAAGCCATCACTTTTCTTCAAGCACCACCATCAGAGTATTACTAGTATGCATTGCATGTCCTTCCCAGTGTCAACACTAGACTTTCAAAAGGCTCAGAGAAAAAAAATCAGTGTAGGTTTCTGGGCATAAACATTAAAAGGTATGCTTATCCAGAAAGAGCACTTCCCTCTTAAGCACTTTTTGCTTTCATACTTTTCATAAACAAACTTTAACAATATGATCTGAATTTGAAAAGCTCCTTTCATCTGCAGACTTTCAAGTACTTTTATAAAAAGTTCACAAAGATTGCTCATTAACAGTAAGACTGAGAATCCACAGAACAAAAAGCAGTAATTCTTCAGAATCACCAAGGTAGGGCACACAAACAGATGGAACTTAGGCAGAAATATGTGAGTTTAATGCCAGACTAAAACTTGTGCTTGGAAGCTGCTGTGAACACTGGAAAGAACAAATTTACTCCTGCAAAAAAAAAAAAAAAAACCCTCAAAAAACCTTAATAAGATTATTTGAGAATCAAAAATAGCCAGAAGTTCTATTCTGAATACCCACACAAGGAAATGAATTCCTGGGGTAATCACGGTACTACAGTGCCTGCATGATGGTAAAACCACATGAATTTGATTTTACAAGACCAGAGAATAACTTAGACCAAACCTGTGCCCAACTCCCATGTCTGAAGCAGGGTTAACTTCAAGCACACATTAGGGCTGGCAAGGGCCTTATCCAGCTAAGCACTGCATATTCAAGAATGATGACTGCACAACCTCTCTTGGTCCCTGTGCCAGATGCTGATCAATACTGTGAGAATTTCACCAACTAGAATTTCTTTTGCTGCAGCACATTTATTGGTTTGTCTTCTCCGTGGTCACTCCTGAAAAGAACCTGGGTTTTGACTTTTCCAGGCAGTGAGAGTGGACTCACTCTCACTGCAGATCTCACTATAGCCTTGCAGCCTTGAGACATTGCTGTCTCACACTCTCCTCATGCATAATATGGTGCATCCCTCTGACCACCCTGTTAACTGGTTCCAGCCAAGTCTTTCTTGTACTGCAGAGCCCCAAGATAAGCACAGAATTCTGGATGCATTCTTAAAATGTCAAGCAGGAATAATTATCTTCCTTGATTAATTATCTAAAGTTGGCCTTTGTTTCTGGAAGGATGCACTACTCACTCACCCTTAGCAGATCACACAGTAGGATCCCTAGGCTCCTTCCTACAGAGCTGCTGCTGCTTTCTAGCCAGTCAGTTCTCAGTTTAAGCAGCAGAGGGCCATTCCATGCCAAAAGCAGGACCTTACATTTGTCTGTACTGAAATTCCATCTTCTCCAGAGCAACAGTCCTCCCCAACAAGATGCCTACTACGGTTTTTGCAGGGCAAGAGATTTCCTGCTTTGATGCCCAGTCTCCAGCAGCAGAAAGCCTCCCTTGCTGGTTTACTCAAACAGTAACAAAACAAGTTTGATGCACTTCCTCAGCAAGAAAGAGCCAGGATACAACAACCTGCCAGCAGGGCAGAAAGCACACATTCTAGCTGCTGAGAGCCCATAAAACCAGCTACCCTAAAAGAACTCTGTTCCAAAAATAACAGTAGAAGCATTGGCACAAAGGAAGGGTAGGCTGAAGAGCAAATATTTGAGGAGAAAACTTCATTTACAGGCTTTACAAGAACTGTCTGATAGGTAAGTCCTGTAAAGACACAGCCTCAGTGTCCATGCAATGTGAGCATGGCATGGTGGAGACTGCTCAGATGACCCCTTACCGAGTTGTGCAGGAAACTGTTTGTGGTGGTGATTTTCATCTGTTTGCTAGGAAGGGGAGAGACACTTTCCTCATCATCTTCTGTGTCATACAGACCCTGAAGTGAAGAAGGCAATAGTTTACATGCAGGCAGACTTCATTGAGACATTTCAAAAATAGGGAGTTCTCTCCTGCCTTCAACCATCTTCAGCTAATGAACATTTACACTGCATTTTAGTTTCAGGTACACAAGTCCATGTCAAAACATCAGCATAAAAACTATTGGACTTTCTTTCCAAAAACATCACAGTAAAACTGTTTCCCTAGATATAGTGAAATCACATACAGATCCCTCTTCTCCTGGACCTCATTAGGACTGTTGAAGCTACATTATTGGAATAGAGCCTCAGTGTCTTACATTTTAGCACCCTCCTACCTTTACAGATGACACCTGTGCATGTGATTTTTAAATTAGTTTGGGGGTGTGAGGTGGGGTTTCTTTTTGTTTGTTTGGTGTTTTCCTTTTTTTTTTTAAACTAAACAAGTGCCTGCTGAATACATCTAAACAGAACATTCCTTTTGAATAGCCTGCTTTCCTTATCACAGGACATATCCATCTGGCCCTAGAAGACACTGCACTAAGAGATTTACTGAATGAATAATTCATTTTCCAGTTCAGCTTAACACTCACAGCCTTGCCTTAAAATACTGAGGTGAGCTCCTATACAAGCATTTTTTTCGTTGACTCAAAATAATATTAAGAAAAAGTCTAGACACAAATAGCAGTGCCCAAAACATAAGAAATCACAACTGCAAATAGCTTCCCATTAATTCACTAAAAAGCTAAAGAAAACTGGAGGGATTAGCAATGAGAGCTTGCAAAATCAGTGGGTTGTCCACAGTCAGCAAGATTTTGGTTTACAAGCAAGGAAGTTGTTCCAGTGACAGAAATGCTATGAAGGAAAAAAACAAAAACTGAAAATGGCCAGAGAACCGAGGAGAATTGTGCAGAAAATAAAAGAGCTGGGAAAAACACTAGGGAGCAGGACAATGGACTTGAGCTTGAGACAAAATGAAATGGATTCCACGTTTACAGTGATAAGATCACAATAATGAAGACACTTCAACAACAGCATCTATGATAGGTGATGGTAGCAGGCCAGCATAAAGGTAACATACACAAATAGCTAAAATTATGATAATCATGGCAAAAAAGTCACCTGACATGATATTGTGAATGCCAGTTTTCCAGTATTTCATGGAATACTTTGTGTATACACATACAATAACATAAGTAATAAAAATATCCAATTCCTCTCTGAAAGCACCCAAGGTAGTAAGGTGGCTGAATGGCTGGGGGCTATGATAAAATCCATTAAAACTGATCCCAGAAAGACAATACTCTAAGGTCTTTCTCAAAATCTGCTTGATAATGGCTATGGGAACTCTGGAAGTACATCAGAATACTAGGCAACATCACTCCCTATCAGGATTGCAGCAGTGGCCCAGCTTTCACAGGAAGGTTATACCCTCTCCCACCTCACTGCAGCACATCTGACCATGTGCAGTCACATCCTCTCTCTGAAGAGGCTGGCAGCATGGTGAATCAAAACAGCCAACAACTTGATCTGATGTGATGTCATAAGAAATTTATACAAAAATATCAGAGCTAGAGGTCAGCCTCTAGGGAAAAAATACACCATTGGCATAGAGATAAAACTGGGAATATCTATGTCTCATTCCTGTATCTCATTTGGATAGTACACTAGGGATCAAGATAAATTATACTAAATGAAAACCTCAATTACCATGGAACTATTTTAACCACACAAGACACGAAAGCTAAGCTGATGGAGAACTTTCCAATGTTCTTCTCTCCTACTTAAGAGTTTTCTTTGCACCTGCCAATGTTTATGGACAGATTTTCTTCCCTGTTAAAGGTAACAAAGAGTAAAGAGCAGGTACACACCTGTTTATGTGTATGGTTGTTCACCACATTGATCCTCATTCCTGCTGGATGAGAGTGTCCAGGAACTGGAGCCTTCTGCTACAGTTAGAGATAAAGAACCAAAGCATTAAGCATTACAGTCCACCAGGTTCAGAAGATCAAAGCTTTAGTTGAATAACCTGAGATCACTTATATAAAACTTACCTTCCCTGCTTTGAAATACATTACCACAATATGCTCCTGGGTAACACCTGTATTTCCTGTGATATGTTCAATATGAGATAGCTTCACTTAAATTAAAATCTAAGACCACATGAAGAAATGGATTCAAATTAGTTAGGGTTTACTCCAAGATTACTGGGAAGGGAAGTTAACTTCAGTCCTGTCAGGACTACTAGATCTACATTTCTGTCAATACAAAACCATGAACTGGGTAAGTCAGAAAGTAGCTGTGTCTTCTTTCATGCTACAGGTAACTAAACATGCAGATCTCCATCAAGCAAAAGGAGAAGTATTCACTGTCCCTTAGCACTAAAGCTGGAATAAGCTGTAGTGGAATAAAATGCAGCACAGGGTAGTGCGCAGCCCATTAGACCAAGAAACAGGGAAATCACAACAGAAGGAGGTAGGGAATGTAGCTGTACTAATCAATAACTGAAATCATGCCACAAAACCCATAAAAATGCTCTTCTGTTTTTCTGAAAAAGCTGGAATCTGTCCATTAAAGAATATATATTCTCACCAAAATAGTCCACACAGGTAATAAAATCTTCAGATTTGCATTTTCTCTAGACTGCAATTTATACCATAGCACCTCATGTTTCAATGTGCTAATCAAAGAAACAAGGATACCCATCCTACAGAAACATCAGCAGACCTACTGTAATTTTTTGGTTTCAAAGATTTTTCCTTGCTTCATGATAAACAAGATCTCAGGACAGCACATTGAGAGCTGTATGCTGTGCCTGGAATCAAGGCACACTAGTTTGATTCCACTCCCATGTTTGGGAAGATAGGAGGGTCAGGGGCAATTTGGAATTTCAGTACAAATATTTTTCAAAACTTTTAGATAATTGCTTATGTGCAAGGTTCTGTCTACAGTCTGAATCACCATGATACCCTATGTATAAATATATATGTTCCCTTGCACTATGTTGTGTAGCAAACAGAAAATACTATTGGTCAAAACAAGTCAAACAAAAACCCACAAAACACCAGGTCAGAACAAAGAGCTACTGCACCAAGTCTCTGGAAACTACTTTAACTCCTAGAAACTTTGTAGATGTTCAATTCCTCATGGCTAACGCCAGTAATTTGGCTCAGAAGGACAGCAAGAATACTGATCACCCTCCTAATTAACAACTGCTGAACAGACTGCTCTACTGCTCTGCCATCAGCCCTTCTTACTGCCTCAAGAGCCCTTCCTCCTCCTTGCATCAGCCTGGCAGGAAACCTGCAGACTAGTGGGAAAATTCCTAGGCCCATTTGCAGAAGAAACATGTCTGACATTTCTTTTCAGTTAAACCCACAGCTGAACAGAAAGCAGAATCATCTAGGCTTTCAAAGTGGTGACAACAAATTCCTGGGTATGAGTGAGCACACTGCTGATTTTTGGGAGACTGAAAATGAAAGAGGTAAACTAAGAACTTCAGTTCCATGCTTGTAGAGGTAAGGAGCAAAACCACTCAAACAACAATCCCAACAGTCTGGAAATTTCCCTTCTGGCTCCACACATTCTATCTAACAGACACAGCTCAAGAGCAGGAGTTTCTCAGAGAAGCTGGCTAAGAATCAAGTTGCTACGCACACAGCAAAGTGAAATCAGAAAACTGGCCCAGGAAATCAGCAGGTCAGGGTGATCAACTGATTATAATACAATTGAAATAAATCTTGAGCCTCAGCAGGAATGCTTCATGTGATCAGGCAAACCCCTGGAAACCAGACAAGTATAAAAAGAAAAAATTGTAGAATGGCTCATTGAATTTTAAATTTCCTTAGATACAAACACAGCTGCATATTCTAAACTGCTGTTCCACCCCTAGGATAAACCAGTTATCTATACAGGACAATCCTCCACATCAGACTTGCAAAGAGGAGCAGTATAAGAATGACAAAAAATCTGCATCATTTTGTTTGCATTCAGGCAGGAAAGACACTACTTAACCATTCAAGACATCTCTTTCAATGCTGTCAGGAGCTCTGCCTTAGTCTTTTTGGGCCCAAAATTAAAATGAAAATTTAAATGAGAGGTGTGATTCTACAAAAAGTCCCAAGCAGCTGCAAGGACACACAAAAGGATGAGAATCCCACCCCATGGGCTGGAATGAACAGTATCATCCTCGCCTCTATTGCAACCATAGGAACATACTGAAGTATTATCATGTCTACTGCACTGCTGTAGAGTAACTGAGGGGCTCAGAGGTGACTCATTCACCTACTTGAATAGTTTTGGTGATTTTCACAGCTGGATTTACTGTCCCCATAGCTGGGCTGATAGCAGCTGGAGTGCTCCTTTTTAAGCTGATCTTCTCTCTGGCATCCACCACTTTGGTCACCTTTTCAGCAGCCACACTTTGCTGCTTGCGGGAATTCAACATCTCCCGAGCATCCTGCACCTTCCCTTTGATTTTGAAGCGAGCATCCTTTTGAAGCAGCTTTTCTCGGGCATCCTTCACCCCCAGTTTGTGCCTGGCATCAGTGAGTCCTATCTTCTGTCGGGCATCAAAAGTCTGCTGGAAGCTCACAGCTGGTGATGATCTATTCAGAAGATTTTGCTGGATCCCAATGCGAGATCTTACACCTCCAAACACTGGCCTTGTGTTAAGTCTGAGGGGGGGAAAAAGAGAAAAAAAAAAAAAAAGAAAAAGAAAGTTTCAGGCATTATGTGTCAATACAGTGTCAATAAAAGTATTTGTGTTGCTGCAAACAAAAGTTCATTATTACTGCACAAAAATCCACTCCAGTTGGACATCCAAATACAACAGTAGAACTCCTAAGCTCTTTTATGCTGGATTTTTTTTTTCCTACATAATCAGCTAAGGAACTTATTTCCAAAATCCACCCCTCAGCTCACATTTACAAACTAAAGGGGCTGAGTTCAGCTGTGCTAAGTACATACTACATTTACACAAAATTCAACAACTCAGGTACTTTGGGGCAACCTTTGAGGAACAGGAACAGACTTTTCAGTTTCAGGAGTGAACAGGTCTGCTAAAGCATCTTCCATAATTCACTAATACATCCTGATATGAAGGAAACATGCAACTACACATGAATTCAAGAATTCTGGGCAGCAAGCTGAGATCTGTGGGAGGACAGCAACTCAAATTTTAGTATGTACAAGCACCAGTAACAATCTTAGTTCAAAGCCACCAGTTTCAAGGTTGATTAGCTTCCAGAAAGAATAGTCGTTAGTCAAATTACTTTTTAACATGACTGCCTCTTCCTTAATCTAATAAAAGAACTACTGCACTTGATGGCCTGTACTTTTTAAGCATATCATTATTACAATACTGAGCACAGAAAGACAACAGCCCACAAAAACGACAGCATTTGTACTTGTAGACAAGTATTCCTAAAAAGCAGCACAACACAGAGTGAAAGCTAGAACTACCTTCTTGTTACAGGTCTCATACACCTTTTCAAAACCTGCCCAAAGAACAAAAAAATTTATCTAATTTCTTAATGGAGTTCCTCTGATGAGTATTTTTAAAGTTTTTTCTTTTTCACTGGGTTTCTTCATATTAAAAAAAAGAGAGAGAAAAAATATTCTTGCTGTTGACTTTTTAAAAGTCAAAATATAGGGCTACAAAGTTCACCTGCTTTCAGAAATGTGTTGTCCAGTATTACAAAGTCTAAAAGTAGATACTTGGAATTTGTTGTAATAATCAAAAGGTTAGTATCACAAAACCAAATTATGGTGCTATTTCAATTCTTCATGCACCCTTATATTTGTATTTCCCAATCTAACTCCACAATCTTCACATTATTTAAAGCCATGTATTTTCAATGGAGAGATCTTTACAAAAAACCCCAACCAGCTCAGAGATGAAAGACTTAACCTCTGCTTCTGCCTCTTTCATTCTTGTGTCTAAATGTCTGGAAAGCTGGGACTGGAGCCCCATTTTATTACCTAAGAGTCCTATGGCTGCTCTCTCCTACAGGCAAAGCAAACCAGCTAGAAGAAACAGGAGGATTATTAAGACCATCTATGAAAATAAACTCAGAACACAGGAACCTAACAATACCATAAAGCAACAGAGCCAAAGCAAGACTTTCCTTGCAATTTTAAGAAACATTTATTTAGCCATGTTGGAAGCACTCAGCTGGAGCGCTGCAAAGGGCTGGATGAGCGGTTCACGAGAGAGGCCAAAGTAAAACCAGAAATGTATGTGACAACATTTAAACTAGAATTAGTTAAGACTGTTGATAACAAAACTCAACAAAATAGGTTAAGAAACTGAAGATTACACCATTTCTGGTGTCTTTATCCTAATAAGCAACTCTCTTTCACAGATAATTGCTTACCCTACAAGAGCATTAACTGCTTAGCTATTTGTGCCACAGCACCTGAAATAAAAGCAGATCTCAAACATCAAACTCACTTTCCAGGATTCCAAGCTCTGGCTTGAATATGTTATGGACCAGCACATTTGATTAGTGAATTTTTTTATTTCATCTAGACTACTGAATAGCATGCATATAATGACTTAACTTTATTCAGTTTATCCAGACTTCACAAAGCCAAGTTTGCTACCTGAGGAATTTATAAAGTGAGCTAAACACAACATATAAGAAGAGTGTGGGGCACAACAATTCTTACAGTGCTGCAGAGAGATTATTGCTCAGCAAAAAAAAAAAAAAAAAAGCAGGAAGAATTCCTGGAAGAAATGAGAGTTAGGGAGGGATTTGAAAAGGGATAAAGGAGGTACTTGGGACATAGTAAGCAGACTAAGACTCTTCCAAATATGCAGGATAACATGAATGAAAGTGCAAAGCCAAGGCTTTGTCTAGACTAGGATTTAAATATGTTTGAATGTTTTGGTAGTATATGTTGGCAGATATATTTCAGAATATTACTCTAGACATGTAAGTGTATACACATTCAGAGTCAAAAACGAAGACTAATGAATTAAAAAAAAAAAAAAAAAAAAACGAAGGGAAAAAATCCAACAAAACAAGAGCACACTGAGCTAACAGAGATGGGGGACAAGCTCTTCAGAAGCATTACGAGACTACGGCAAAAGGGAAAATGAAAAGCTGCCGAAGGAGAACCCAGGTAAGAACTGCCAACTGTGGAAGCAAATGGCCCAGCCTACACTGGAGACATCTGCCATGCAAAGAAACATCCTGACCTTGCAGCTCCGATCTGCAACATGCTCCACGTCCTCTCAGCCACTGCAGGCAGTCGCTCGGAGCCCCACTGACTACGCTGGAGGGACGGCACCTTCCGAGAGCCGGGCAGCGCTGCGCCCCATGCCCGGCAGCCTCCCCCGCGCGGGCGCCCGGCGGCCCCGGTCGGTTACGGCTCCCCGAGCACCAGCAGCCCTGCCACGGCTCTCCCACAATGCCCCGAGCCGCGCCCGGGAGCGCGGGGGCACCGGGCACCGCCTGGGTAACACCTGCGGCCCGCTACCGGCGGGGTTCGGGGCGCCCACCCCGCTACAGGGAGCAGCGCTGGGTTAATCGGCGGGGACGAGCAGGAGGCAAGTCGGAAGGTTCAGCGAGACAAGGGACGGCGCCAGGAGTCCCGAAAGGACCGAGAGGAGATGGGCCGCTGAGCGCTCCTGCCCCACCGGGGCAGCGCCAGGCACAGGGGCCGAGAGGGGGGCCCGACCCCCGCCCCGGCCCTGAGTGACGGCCGCCGCCGCCAATCGCACGGCAGCGCGGTCCCGCAGGCCCGCGACTCAGCCAATGGGAACGCGAGGGCGGGAGCAGGGCCGGGCCGCGCCGAGACAGCTGCGGCCCGCAGCCCCCGGAGCGGAGCCACCCGAACGGACCCTCGAAGAGCGGCTGGGGGCCGCCGGCCCGAGGCGCTGCGTCGCCGTCCCAAACGCTCACCTCCCCTTCACCGTCACACCGCGTTTCCGTATGAGCTCGTCCAGAGACAGGTCCGCCATCTTGTCGCGGCCCCAACGATGAGACGCAGCGAGCGAGTCCCGGAGGTGACACCGCACGACTTCCGCTCCTCGCCCCGCCCCCAGAAGTCCGGCGGGCCCCGCCCGGGCTCCGCCCACTGCGCCGGGGCGCCCCACAACTCCCCGCGGCCGCCGTGTCTCTCATTTGCATACGGCGCGGCACGTCGCGGCTCGGTTCGGCCCGTAGCAGCGGTTCCGCGGCGCGAAAGGGGACAAGAACCGAACGCTATGTTGAGGCCACTGTATGCCAGCCAGAGGCCGCTTCGGGCGGCGCTCGCCCTGACCTGTGGAGGTAGTGCGGAGCCGTGTCCCAGCGGCGCGGCGAGGATTAGGTCATGCCTTAAACTTATGAGTAAGGAAAATAACGACCCGGGGTGACGCCCGGGTCCTCACTACCAATGTGAGAGGAATTTTTGCGCGGGTACAGGTCGCCCCTGGGTGCCCCGCTTACTTCGCGGGATGCCCGGGTGCCGTGATCTGCCCGACCTCCGTGGCGCTTGTGCCAAGGACAGAACTGCCGCGACCGGGGCGCTCCGCGCTGCTCCGGGAGCCTGGGAGGCGGCACAGCGCCAGTGCCTTACGAGGGCGCGCCGCGAACGGAAATATCAACCGGCCTAAAGAGCAGAAGTGCCTGAACCTGTGCTTTTCTCTTGTCGCTCTGTTCACTGAGGTGCCTTAAGGGTCTCCAAGAGGCTTAATACAATAAACCACCAACCCAGCTTAATAAATACTTCATGTGCCTGCAGGAAGCAATTCCTTTTCTGTTCTTCTGAGGGAGCAATTACACCGTTTAAAATCAAGCTAACAGTGAAAGGGAAATGGTGCCTTGTGCAGCTCGGGCAGCGGTGAGCTCCCGGGGTCCTGCCCTGACATGACCTGCGCGACGGCGGCTCGGGGTCTCGCTGCGGGCCCTGGTGCTGCCGGGCCTCCCTCAAGGCGCCCTTTGGCAGCACATCACGGCCGCAGCGGCTCCAAAACGCAGCTTTGCTCCCGCCCGCAGCTCTGGCACGAGGTTCGCTTGCGACCCCTTCTCCTGCCCCGCTGTTCCCGTTCTGCCCTTTCCCCAGCACGGAATCCTGAGCTGCAGTAGCCCTGGGGCTTTGCCGTGCGTGCTGCAGCACCCATCGTGTTGCTGTGGAACTGGCGGCCCGAACACATTCCGTGAGATCCAGGGGGAAGCTCCTGGACTTCAACAGTGCGGGAGCTGCCAGGGAGGGCCGGGGACCATCACAGAGGAGACATAGCAGCTGATTCAGCTGCTCACAGCCACACAGGCCCAGGCCCCCACAGCCCTGATTTCCTCTCAGGAGGCCTTTGTGAGTCTGAAGCCATACCAGCGGTGATGCCAGGTCCCTGCTTGGTTGTGCACTGGTGCTCGATCTAGCTCCAGGGTGGCACACGACTGCAGTGCTACAAATACAGCCCTTTTTGTGCTGCCTTTCTGCAGCTGTTGAGGTACTTGATCAGACTGAGGTGATGGGGTGGGTGGGAAATGTGTGATATTTGCTTTGTTGTTGCAAAACCAACAGGCAATGTTTGTTTAAGCAAAGTCAAGAGCAGCCCCAGTGGTTCCAGACTAGAGGGCCACCTAGCCAGTATTCTGTTTCGAGCCTGCAAGGACCCCTGTGCAGGTGGCTTCCAGACACCCCACCAACCTTAGTGCTCTTTGTGCAGCCACGATTCCTTCAGGCAGTACCTCCACTCTCTGCTTCTTCTGCATCCTCCTGTTTGTTTTGCTTCTATCAGCCTAGTTCTTGCAACTGAAGCTGAAGAGTGTATGTGTAGCTGCCACCCACCCTCTCTTCCACCTGTGATCCCTGAAGTCTTCTTTTGTCCAGGTGAAGAATTCCAGGCCTGCTCAGACATTCCTACGGGTGAAGGTGAAGCTCCCTTCCCTCTGCAGGCTTCCACCTTCCCATGTTAAGTCTCTGTGGGAGGCTGACTGGGGGGCATGAGTCATGGTGTTGCAAGAAAGGAAGGGTTTGAACATCAAGATTGTCCTCTCTCTTCCTTTTTCTGACTGTTTTGCTCTTCCTGTAAGACAGAAGCTGTAGCTCAGTTTTCTTCATGGTTTCTTCTCTGAGCTGTGTATGAGAAGTCGAATATTTGTTCCAGGAAGGGCCTGGGCCCCTGCTTTCCTCCTTGTGGCTGGGAGAGGGGTAAATGTGGGATAAGCAGCAGCAAAGAGATCTCCCTGAGTGTAGGGGTCTCTACAAAGGGCTCCTTGTCCCAGTGTGCTGGAAAACTTTCAGGCCTGCCCTTGTTTTCCAGAGGCAGATTCCCTATGTGTGTCTCCTGAATCTGCTGGGATCCCCACAGCATGGAAGTCAGACCAGATGAGACCATCTTGCACCAATTTCCTGTAAAATATTACTGGAAAAGCAGGGCACCCCCAACGAAGGAAGGAATGATGAGGAGGACTCCATGGATATCAGAAAGCTAAATAATTACTTTGTTATACTATATTATTCTATACTATATTACATTCCATCTAAACTGAATCTGCCAAGCACTCAACTGCACAGCATCTTGTGACTGACACACACACACGCTTGGCCCTGATAGGCCAAGGAAACAAAACCCCATCACTCTGGGTAAACAATCTCCATATTGCATTCTACTGTGGCACAAACACAGGCACAGCAAGTGAGATAAGAATTGTCTTCCCTTTCTCTGAGGTTCAGGGAATGGGAATCCCAGAATGTCCTTGGGAAGAATTGTGCCTTGCTTTTCTCTGTGAAGAGAAATGTGTCAACAGTGGCGGAAGCACCTGGTTTGTAGTGAGAGGTTAAAAATCCTCTGATTTTAGCAGTTTGTTCTCTTTTTCAGGACTATTGAACCCTAGGCCTTTTAGCCTTCTGAAGACTTTTAAATCAGTCTTTGAAATATAAGCCTTGCAAGATGAGTATTTTAGCCTACCAAAAATGATGTTAAGGAGAGAAAAATCAAAGGAGAGGACACACCTGAGGAGATGCAGAAGTGATGAGCTTCAGAGATAAAACTGATGCACAGCATAGGATCCAGACAGATTCAGGGAGCTACCAAAAAAAATAGGCTCAAAATTTTCTAAGCAGGTAACAAAGAGAGCATGGCAGCTTGCCATATGTGTAGTGTTATACCTGTATAATCACATGGCATTTGGCTCAGGGTCATGCTGAAACTTCTACTTGGCTGTACAACTTACCTCTCATTTACCTTCTACGGCCTGGAAAAATGAAATATTATTGCACTGCTCATCTGAGTCTGCAACATTTTAAAAAGCATGAAAAACCAACTATGGTAGTTCTTTCTTTTTGTGAAAGTTGTAGGAAATACGGTACGTAAGTAATTTTACTTCACCTGTTCTATTCCATAATAGATATTTCCAGTAAGGGAGCACACCTGTATCACAGCTCATGTTGTCAGTGACCTGCAATATGCTTGGGAAATACTAAATCCCTGAGAGAAGCAGAGCAATTTGCTTGGAGAGAGCTACACAGAAATTTGCCTTTCTTTCTGGGGGCCCATTGAGAAAATCCCAGGGAGTTTGTGCAGCCAAGGAAACTGACGGATTAGAAAGAAAAACTGGAGAAAAGGACTTGGCAGGTGTTCAGTCTTGACTGGGTATTGGGTCTTCAAAGAGATAGGAGTAGTTGTTGGTTGTTGTAAAGTTGTTTATTGTATGAATACATCAGTTCTGAAGGTGAAGAGTTTACAGTATTAAAGTTTGTGCTAAAAGCTTTCTGGTATGGAGTCTTGATGTTTTGAGTAGAAGCAGTAGAAGAAGTAGTAGTTAGTAGAAGCAATTAGCACCTTTTTTTATCCCAATATAGGGGAAATTTATTCATAAATAATCTAATCAGCTAAAAACACGATTCTAAAACATTCTTTCTACACCTATCCAAGCTTAATTCTAATGTGTGAAAGTAGTGTTAGTTTTTACACAAAATCTACACATACAGTTCTATCTGTTCACACAAACAGTTCTATCTGTTCTCTTTAATAATGTAAGCAATGTTCTGCTATGGTTTTGTTATGTCTGGTGCTAAGTTAGTTTTGTGAAAGGTAGCACTACTGAACTTTAAACTAGGCTTTAGGGTTTTTTACTAGCTAATACAGTTTCTTAAGGCATTTAAGATATATTTCTCCTTACTTGAAATTAAAACTTACACTCCTACTTCATGTCTGTCTGGTTTAATATATTTTAGTTTCTCTAAAGGTTCCAATTCAATTCCTATATTCCTTTCTCTCTCTGAGGGACTCAGGCTTCTATTCCATGCATTCTAACAGCAGGCACACAGCAGAATCTCAAGTCTTTTTTATTTGGTAATTCTCAAGTTGCTCACAGAATACTGTGTCCCACCAAATCACATAAACATGCATTTGCCTCATTGCATCTCTATTATGCCACGGAATACAACTTCTGGATTTCTTCTGTCCAGAGCTGTGGCACATGTGTAGCTGAAGGACTTTGGGAGAGGTAAATTGTAAAGATGTGAGGAAGCAGGGGAACGCTAACAGACAGGTGGCCTTTGTGAGGAGACAATTGGAATAGCTTCAGTTTTTAATACAGGTTTGTTAATGATGATTTACCCTAGGTGTCCCAAGTGGGGGATGTCTAACGTACTAGCTCTGAAAAGTAGGCAATTCATGGAGGAAAGAAAAGCAGAGTACTACATAGCAGCTGTTTCATCTTCTTATGGCTAAGTAGGTAACTAGCCTGACTCTCAAGTCATTTTCCTTTGGTCCCAGACTACACCTTTCACAATAATTTCTTCCCCATGTTTCATTATGGGCCACAGAAGTGATTCATTTTCCCAGTGCACTACATCTTTCTTGTCCACATGCTCTAGATGCCTCCTCTTTATCCTCCACTCAGCTTTAACTGGTGGATCCTGAAGAAGCAGCAAACAATAAATTTGGCAGCACTGCAGCAGGAACTGTGTTTGATTTTCAGTTCTTATGTGAATGGCAGCTTCCTGAAAATCAAATAAGAACAGTTTTCAAAGCTTTGTAATATTATGCTGATGTATTGTTACATTTCCTCCCCGCCCTCATTCTGTGCAGCTGC